CTTACCAGCACCGGATTCTCCGCTATAGAGGGTCAGTTACGGCTGGTTTAGATGTTGGGCTAACTCACGTCACGAGAATACTCTGGTTGGTGCCTTCCTCTATGAGATTCCGGAAGGCGTGATCAGCCATGGCGAAGATATGCGGCTTGGTCTCCTCCCTACTCCGGCCCCGGTACATGTTGATGTACTCTCGCGAGTAGATGGGCAGCGGGCAGTAGGGGTTCACGGTGACGAGAAACAGTCCGGAGTAGGTGTATATCAGGTCGGCCTGGTATCGCATGTGGAGGTTGTGGATGACCGAGGGCTCGTTCAGATGGGTGAGTTCCGCCATGTCGTCGGCCTTGTCGAACTTGGCCGGATTGACCTTGTCGATAGCGTCGGCGTCGACATCCTGCTGTGTGCCATTGTCGCATTGGACGAGGATGCGTCCACCCGGCAGGTCCTCGACGACCCATCCGCGGACGAAGGCCGTGACGGGATCCCTAAGCCAGACATAGCGCTTGCCGGAGAAGTCGTTCTCGCCTTCCACGATGCCACCCAGGCGCGGAGCAGCGTCGTCGTCCTCGGAGATGAACTGCGGGGCAAAGGTGCCGACGGGCGTGCTGTTGCGGTTCGAGTTGGAGCGCAGGCGTGCCGAGTCACTGCGGCCCAGCGGCGGGCTGGTGAGGTTGGTGAGGGAGCGGTTGCGCAGGTGGCCCATGGGGGAGTCGTCGGCCTCGTGCAGCGGCGAGGAGACCGAGTTCCTGGCAAAGGGAGTGCCGCGCGAGTTGCGGGCGAAGGGTCGGCCATTCGGCGCGGGCCCGTTCGCGCTCATGGTGGTGAGTGGTGGTGGTGTTGTCGTGGTGCAGTCGTCGTCGTAGCCGAAGGGGTCATTTGGGCTTAGTTGATTGACATTGCCCCAGTATGTACAGTGATATGCGGGGACGCGGGTGCAGACATGCAAAAGGAACCCTAGGGAGGCTTTGCTGGTACAGACGCTGCACGTAAAGTTGTTGTAAACAATGACAGCCGCTGGGGCCCCTAGCAACAGCCGGGGTCGTGATTGGGTGGCGCGTGCACGGACACTTCTCGATACTGTCGCGATGCACAATATCTCACGAACTGCCCACGCTCCTCCATCACCGCGCGTCATGGCAAACAACTACGCGCATCCCCCGCCCATGCAGCAGCTGCCGGGCATCCCGGGCATTAACCTCGCCCCGTATGCGCAGAACGGCCAGCAGCCCCCGTTCCCTGCCTTTCCTCCGCCCGATGCCAACCTTTGGGCGCTCTTCCAGAGTGGCTCCTTCCCTCCAGGTGCCCCAAACCTCCCGCCGCCGCCGCCCTTCCCCAGCATGGCCTTTCCCCCACCGTCGCTGCCTCCCCAGCCTCCACTGCCCGAGCGCGTACAGGAAGTCACGGACAGCGACCGCGAAGATGGCGAGCTGAGTGAAGGCGACAGTTCGCCGTCGCTCATGGACAAGCTACAGCAGGATCGCGACGCGGCCAAGCAGTTCATCAAGCTTCTGCACAGCAACAACGTCTCGTACAAAGCCCTGGCCAATGAGCAGCTAGACCCCGAGCTGCTGAGGGGCCTGTACCAGAGCGCAAATCTGCCGTCGGAGCCTGCGCCCATCCTGCCACCCAAGGCCAACGATGCCGTCTCCAAGGCGCCCGCCGTCCAGCCAGTGACTCCCGTCGCGCAAGATGCGCCCAAGTCTGTCGCGTCGCCAAGCACTCCGGGCCATCGTCAGGATTACATAGCACGTCTCCAGGCCGCAAAGGCTGCGAAACAGGCCGCCGCCGCCAAACCCACCACGCCTGCGCCAGTCACCAAGACGCCCCAGCCCGCGACCCCGCCGGCTGCTAAGCCGCCTGTGACAGACGAACAGAGAGCGCGCAACACCGAGTTGATTAAGCAGCGCTTGGAAGCCATCAAGGCGAGACAGAAGCCGCCGATCACACCCGGCTCGCATACACCCACGAGCGCCGCCTACACCCCATCCTTCTCTGCCATTCCAGGTCTCTTCATGGGCGCGTCTTCGACATCGAATACACCTGCTCCGGCTGCACCTCAGCCAGCATCTCTACCAAACTCTTCTACTCCACACACACGGCCGCTGGGCCAGTCTCCGCATGCTGACCAGGAAGATGATTCAATGATAATAGATGTTAGCGAAGACGAGTCCAACGGCAGCGATATGGACATTGACGACGATCAGCCCGCTCCTCAGGCAGGTCAGCATTCGCGTCAGGCTCCTGGCACCCTTCCCAACTTCCACTCCGGCGCGATGCCAGCAACCCCATCAGCCGCTGCTATCGGTACCTCAGGCGCAGAAACACCCAACACAGTCGCGCGCGAGAAGGAGCTAGTGGACAAAGAGAAGCAGTTGGTGGCCATGCGCGAGACACTGAAAAAGAAGCTCGCTGAAAAGCGAGAGCGGGATAGGTTGGCAGCAGCTGCCAGCGCCGCGACATCACCGTCCACGAGCCAAAAGACTTCGACGCCAGTGCCATCTCTCCAGGCCTCCACTCCAGCTTCGCTTCCCACATCCACGACCCAGTTTGTATCATTCCCATCACATTCAAGAGACACAAATCGTCTTCGCCGGGCGGAGATCCAGTCTAAGCTGCCTACCCTGGATGCCGAGATTGCGAGTAACGCGAGTAGGATGGCTCAGCTGACCAAGGAATTGGAGCAGCTAACGGCGCAGAACGAGAGGATTGCAAGGGACAAGGAGCAGCTGACCAAGGAGCTGGAAGATCTAGGTGTCGACACGGAGGGCATGTCTCATGCGCAATTACGAGCCAAGAAAGATGAAATCGAAGGCGAGCAGTCCTCGGATTCGAACTCCCCACCTAATCAAACGCAACCTGCATCGCAGCCCGCAGTCAACGATGCTTCACCGGTTTTACTTTCAGCTTCAAACCAACAAACTTCAATACCAACGGCACTCCCTGGACTTGGACAGGATACGGTTCAGCCCGAACAGGAGAGTTATGAGCCCCCAGAGCTGCCAGAACAGGTCATGCCTGCAGAAGGCGCCCTCAACCCAGCAGCATCACAGATACATTTTAGCCCACAGGATTCACCTACCAATGGCACTCGGACCCTGAATCCTTCGGCGCCAGCCTTTGTCTCGACAGCTCAGCAAGACCAGATTGAAAACACGCGAAGTGATTCATCGAAAGCTGATGCGAGTATACAAAATGCGATCGGTGTAGCTAAGGCCAACGCCAGTGCTGCTGTGGACCAAGAGGTCCAGCAACCTATCACTGCCCCCTCGCCGTCAGAAGAAGGAGAAGTCGACATGTCTGTTTCCGAAGGTGACGAAGACGAGGAAGAAGAGGAAGAGTACGAGCCGGAATACGAGCCAGAAGAATCTGTCGTTATTCCCGAAGCACCCGTGGAAGAAGAAATAGAAGTGCAGACCAAACCCGAGTATTCGCTCGAAAGTTCGCAAGCCTCCCCGCAAGAAGAAGAAGCCTACGAGCCACCCGACGTCGAAGAAGACATGCCGGATGTCCAGGCCGGCGAAGAATCCACCGCAGATCAGTATGAGCCCACTGCTCAAGCTGAGGCGGGAGATGGCGCTATGGACATTGCTACATCATCTGATGAAAGCTCTGACGATAGTGAATCCGACGACGAGTCTACCCCAGAGCCGGAAATGAGGAAGTCTATCTCAGCGTACAACCCGTTACACCAAGACGCTGGAATCGCTGATGATCTAGCGCTCGAGCTACAACCAGAGGTAACGTCTTCGGCGGCCACTGGCGGACCTGTACGTCAACCACCATACCGGAGGCCTAGCTAATGCAGACCAGGTGCCTGAGGTGTCCGAACAGGACGAAGAACCCGAGCCAGCCAGGTTTACTCCGTACGAAAGCCCGCTGCGAATGTTCAAGTCCTATCGCTATCATCCCAACTATGCTCAAGATATAAATGGTGGCTTCCTGTCCCTGACTTTTAGTCATCAGATCAACCCAGAGAAGCCGCTGTGCCAGTACGAACTAGCTGGCGGCGCATGCAACGACCCTGAATGTCCCGATCAGCACTTTAGGGAAGTTGCTATTACTGGTGCGTTGGGAGAGGCGTTTTTGTCTTAATTCCGTTGTGTTTTGTTTTCATTCATGACGGCTATACCTCTGCGCGGAAACTGACTTGTAATCATATAGGTGACAAACTGCTCGTCCAGCTCGGCACAGCGAACCCAGGCAAGACCTCCGAGGAAAAGCAGCGCTGGAATGACGGTCTCCGCGGCGTGCTCAAGGAACTTCGTCAGAAGAACATCAAAGACCCCAACGGCATCGCTGTGGAGATAGCGAGATATCGCCGTCAGTTCCTCAACGACGATACTCGTGTCGTCAACTTGTAATCCTTCTTAGCTCCCCTCTCCGTTCTAGGTCTGCACCTAGTGCGAGCGAGGATGGCTTCTCATTCATCATTCCCTCCATTGCTACTGACCTTGATCACATCCACTCAGCAGTCCGCTTCTCTTTGCGTACCCTTCATCGGTAAAAAAAGTTGCGACATTGGGGGCGTATCAACAACTCTCTATCTCTCGACTGTAAGCATCGATACCCTTTCTCTGCATTGGCGTGGAGTTCACGGCTCGGGTCTTCGTTTCTTCGATCCACCATCTATTTTTATTGGATGCAACATGGGGGACTAGGACACACTCTAGCCCGTCCACTAGCAACCTGACCTGGTACGTATTGCTGCCAGCTGCTGCGCTCGGACAATTGAGATTCGGTCATCTCGGCGGAAGAGCGGGTGGGTGGCAGCTGCGGGGAGATGGTTGGGGCGGTGGTCGTGGTAGTGACTTAGTCTACGTAGGCAATACGAATGCATATTTCTTCTGTCCGATCCTCATTATCACACGATCGCACATTCATCATGTCAAATATAGTCTCCACGTTTACATCATGCAATCGATCGAGAAATAGGATACAGCGATTGATTCTCGTCAAGCTACCCTAATCCTTCCCCATCGTTTACGTTCTTAACACACAACAATCTAGTTGGAGATGCCAATAACACCGCAAGCAGGACGAGGACCAGCGTTACCAGTCTTCTTGGACTCCTCGTGTCCGCCCTTGCCGAGGTCATCAGTTCCAGCGTGAACGACAATGGTGCGGCCAATGACGCTCTCGGAGCCAATCAACTTGATCAACTTATCCGTGGTGCTGCCCTGAGCGTTGCCCTGGCCGTCGGTCTTGAAGTTACCCAAGTCACCGACGTGGCGCTCGTCGTCTTCGGGCGCGCCGTGCGTCTTGTTGTGGGGGTTGACTGGGTGGGCGTGTCAGTATGGGTATGCATTTCGGCGGCTAGATCTGCAGGGTGGGTGTTCCTGCGTATCCGTTGCAGGGCTGTTGGGGTGTAGGTGTAGGTGTAGGTCTGTACTCACAGTGAGGACCAGCAGACGTGCAACCGTTTGTGTTGTCGCCGAAAGCGTGAACGTGCATGCCACGCTCAGCGTTGGCGTCGTGGCCGGTGATGTTCCATGAGATGGTAGTAGGGGCGGACTCGTCGGCCTGCTCAAAGGTGACGGTTCCCTTGACGTTCGAGTCTCCACGGAGGACGGCGACTATAGCGTTTGCATTAGCATATCCGTTCTTTCTGAGCCTCAAGCTCCACCAAGCTTCTGTAGCGCGTTGATGCGCGTGCGATGTAGCGGAAGGCCATCAGGGTGTCTTGCAGCCGGTGAGCTGATTGGAGAAGTCCAACGACAAGCCCCAGGTACCAACTGACAGCATGGTACTCCTTGTGAGTCCCAAAGCTGTCCAATTGACCTTTTCGAGCGTTACGATACACCTGAGTACCGTGTCGTCGCAAATAATCTGCTCAATCTTACGCAAGGAGCTGACCCCACCTTCCCGCAACAGGGCAAGCTCGTGAAGCTACTCTAAACATACGTACCGGCTTTGACCATTGTGACGGTTATGTGATGGGTATTGATGGTATTACTTGTGTATTTTGGGATCTGTGACAGAAAGAGGCGTTGTTGGGGAGGAGATGGGAGGGAGATGTACAGCTGGCTAGAGGTGAGCTTTGAAGCCGCCTCCACCGGCCGAATGCGGGGCTGTAGTGACGCAACGGTCTCTAACGCCGGGCCAGATCCAACGAATGATTAATAGCCCTGAGGGCCCATCACTTAACATGGTTTCTATCGTTTTCTTACACTTTCATGACGTTGAAGCAGCATATCACGGAGAGGACAGAAAGATGGTGTTTTACATCTGATGTCAATTTTACTATCTATTTATTGGAAGCCAGCCCATCATGTCTCATATCAAAACCGAAGAAAGCCGTAAGAGTATTCAGATGCTCGATGTATCTCCGTTATCGGATTACACACTCTATGCCGCCTGGATCTTCTTGCGGAGGATGTCCTTCAGGGTAACGGCGTCAGCGGCGAATTTCGAGATACCCTCGCGGAGCTTCTCGACGGCCATCTGGTCCTCGTTGAAGTAGAAGCGGAAATCGGCCTCGTTGTTGATGTAGGTCTTCTTCTCGATGTCGAGCTTGCTGGCATCCTCGGCGATGAGCTTCTTGGGGACGTCGTCTTGTGAGTTGTACAGCTCCTCGAGCAGGTTGGGCTGTATTCGTTAGTCACATGTGCAGGGATAGAGCCTGCGGGCAGTACTTACAGCAATGGTCAGGTAGTCGCAACCAGCGAGCTCGGTGACCTCACCGACGCTGCGGAAAGATGCGCCCATGACGATGGTCTTGTAGCCGTGCTTCTTGTAGTAGTTGAAGATTTGCTGGACGCTCTTGACACCGGGGTCCTCCTCCTTGGAGTACTCCTTCTTGGTCGAGGCCTTGTACCAGTCAAGAATACGGCCGACGAAGGGAGAGATGAGGAAAGCACCGGCCTCGGCAGCCGCGATGGCCTGGACCTGGGAGAACATGAGGGTCAAGTTGCAGTTGATTCCGTGCTTGGATTGCAGGATCTCAGCAGCCTTGATTCCCTCCCATGTGGACGCGAGCTTGATGAGAACGCGCTCCTTGTCGATACCGATCTCCTTGTAGAGGTCGATGATGTGCAGGGCCTTGGCTACTGACTCCTCGGTGGAGAAGGAGAAGCGCGCATCGACTTCTGTCGAGACCTTGCCGGGGACAATCTGGAGGATTTCCTTGCCAAACTGTACCAGCAGGTTGTCAAGGGTGGTGTCGACCTGGTTCTCAAGGTCGGTGCCGTTCTTCTTGCCGTATGCGACGGCCGCATCGATCAGCTTCTCGTACTCGGGCTTCTTAGACGCGGCGAGGATGAGCGAGGGGTTGGTGGTCGCATCCTGGGGCTGGTACTTCTTGATGGTAGCGAAGTCACCGGAGTCGGCGACAACGGTCTGTAGAGAAAGTCGGTCAGCTATAATTCTTCCGTACGCTTGGTGTTGCGCATGTGTGAATACTTACGGTGCCGGAGGCCTTGAGCTGTTCGAGGGAGCTAGGCATTGTGAGGGGTATATGTGTATGGAATTGGGATTGAAGGTTTGTTGCAAGTGTTTGTGAGAGCACTTGATATGTAGTAGAGGTGAGGAAAGTTGTCGACTGATGTGATGTAAAAGTGTTGTTGGGCCAGCTGCATGGGTGGGGCCTTTCATACGTAGCGCCCCTCACCTTCCGGCCCCTCCATGGAAAAATAGCGTCACCGGTGGCAATGGCGGCAGAAGTCAAGCTCAGTCAGCGGTGAGGGTCCTTTCGAGTAACCGCTAGCGATCAGAAATTTTGCCGCTCCCGGAGCACTGTCGTCCGGCCCATCCATCAAGACGCGCTTCGGGATGAACGTGGCTGGACGCGATGCCTGAGCAGATCCCACGTGGCGGCACTCGGAGCAGAGTAATGCACTGTCATACGATTGAGGAAGCTTGTTCTACCAACAACCCACGGCTTTACACTATCGCGATGTTATTCTTAGCTTATCATCGTGAATTCCCGCGGACATATCCAGGGCAGCTTCGGCCAAAAGGCCGACTTCAGGCTTCTCCATGTTGATAGCTGGATATCACAACTTTGCTTTGCCAGTCGTCTTGCCCCATCCGTCTTGGTTCAGCCATCCGTACACCTCCTTGTATTGTTCCTGGAGATTGCTAACAGTATGACCTGCTCCGCTCGGACCCGGATCGTTCTGTATTACCAATTGTCAGCACACAGTCACACACTCGGGTGGATGTTTTCCATCAATACGTACGAATGCCTCGACTAGTCTCGTCTGCTTCGCGCCCACCTCCAGGATCGTGCCTCCGCCCAAATCAGCTTCTTCCAAGCATCTCAACATGGCGACCGCCACTTCTTCGGGTGTTGCCCACGCATCCTTGGTCTCGTCGATGAAGGTCATTTTCTCCGGATGCTCGGTCCACAGTGGTGTCTTGATGACGCCCGGAGCGACGGCATTGACGCGAATGTTCATCTCCGCTTCGAGCGTACCCAGAGACCGGACAAAACCGTTCATCCCATGTTTGGCCGCCGTATATATCGGCGCGTGGAGATTGGGGTTTTGGCCTGCAATACTAGAGATGATGACGACTCTCTTAGGATTTTGCGCACCCACTCTATCTACACCAGGAGGTGGGTTGAGGAAATGCGATATAGCAAGCTGGGTCGTGCGAATGGGATGTGTTACGTTGATATCGAGAGTTGCGTATCGTCCCCCGTCCGCCTTGTCTCTGCTCGCGCCGCCATCGACGCCTGGAGGATGCCAGAAGTTACTCCAGTGGGGATCGTAGACGCCTGCTCCTGGACATACAATGTCGACTTTTCCGAATTGCTGTATTCCTACTTCGAACATGCGCTCCAGCTGCGGCCAATTCGTAACATCGGTCTTGAGAAAGACGGCTCGTGGTTTCCCTTGCTCTTTTGTACTGTATTCTTTGACCAGTTGCTCTGCTTCTGGGCGAAGCGAAAGATCGGCTATAAGGACGGAGCAGCCATGGCTGAGAAGTAAGGCTGCGAAAGAGAAGTTTATACCTGACCCAGCACCAGTGACTATGGCGCTTTTCCCTTTGACACTGAATGCATTTCCAGATTTCGTCTCGTTGACTAAACCTGGTTGTCTTGCTGCCATCTTGCTTTAAGCACGCTCTTGAACTCGTTGGAATGGTCAATGATGAGAAAACATCTCTCTCATGGTCGTCAACATGGCTATATATGCGACCTAGGTACACGCTGTCCAGCATTCACGCGTCTAACCAGCACGGGATTGCCTCATTGGGTAACGAGAGGGGTAGTTGTGGGGTAACTCGCACCGAACACTCTCGTAGGCGGGGAAGGTTTGCCGAGCTTGAACCCTCGTACACTATGGAAGCTCGTATTCTCTGAGTCGTTTTGGATCGTACCACGCTGCAAGTAAATATTCTCCTTCCAAAAAGGACGGGACATATTTGGCATTGGCATCGCACTTGATTTGGGATATCTTGAGTATGAACAATCTTTGCACTAAAACTACGATTATGTACACGCCAACCAGCCAGACAGTATCGAAGCTGCCATATTTGGGATATCAATGTATACCAAGCACCACCTAACGCCATATGTGCCAGAAGTTCTAATTCCGTTTCCTCAGCTCACTGCGCTCCTGCCCATCGATGCCGCTAGTTCGTGGAAGAGGTTCGCCATTGCCCGTGCCTGAGACGTGGCTCAGCCGAATCAGCTCATCCATCATAGCATCTCTTGTCTTCTTGAGCAGCTCATCGACGTGCTCTGGTCCCTTTCCTTTTGTTTGTATTGGCGGCAGGACTGTTACATCCACCACGCCTGGGGTAAACCTCTTGCCCTTTACGTCTAGGACGTGGTAGTAGTTGCCAACGACGACGGGCACGATTGGGACTTGTGCTTGTACGGCAAGATGGAAGGCGCCTTTCTTGAAGGGTAGAAGTTCAGGCTTCGAGGCGTAGGAGCGCGTGCCTTCGGGGAAGATAAAGACATTCTGGCGTGTAGTCTTCATGGTGTGTGCGGCAGTGTCGAATGCGGCGCGTGAGGACGTGCGGTTTGCGCGGTCTATGAAGACGGTTTTGGAGAGGGCCATGAACCAGCCGAGTAGGGGAACGTATTTCAGCGACTTCTTGGCCGTGACGGACGTGTATTTGGGGAACATGCAGCCGAGCATGAGGACGTCGAGTTCGCTGCAGGAAGTGTCAGCGCCGCAGTCAAGAGTTGGCCTAGCCAAAGGACCTGGTGAACCCACGTCTGGTGGTTGCCCACAAAAATGGCGGGACGGTCCCTGAGGGCGTCTTCTCCACTGAGACCGCCCTCTTTCTTCATGCTCCCCGTCACTCTGAATGTTACGCCGGTGCACAACCACATGACCCATTTGAACGCCCGCGCAACCGTCCACTGGATCAGTCCACCGTAGCCCACGAGGCGTAGAGGTATAGCCACGAGGGTGCCGTACAGCGCGCAGCAGAGCATGAGGAGCATGGAGCTTATTGCGAAGGCGTAGTAAGACACCAGCTGGGCGGGCTTCGCGGGCAGCACCAGCGAGAGCAGGCGCATGGCTACGATGAGCGCGGGCGGCATGGCGGCGAGGTAGATGAGCCAGCCCATAGCGAAGGCTCTCGTCGGGGAGAGGAGAGGAGAGGGGAGTGCGTGTGTTTGTATGTGTTCGTATTGCGGGTTGAAGAGAGTCGGAGCTTGGTGGGGACATTTTTTGTCACGCGCCGAGGTTCGCACATGCACCTCGCCAACTCGCTAAATGTCATGTGTACCGCCATGCCATTCATCGTGACCCCTTCTCCTCCACAGAATGCCCTGAACTCGTCCGCACCAGCACGTCGTCTCTCCGCCGCCTTGACCAAGTCATCACTGCGACGCAAAAGGTCGTGATATATACAAGTAAGAGAGGAAGCAATATCCACCGCCAGGCTACCATGCAACCAACCCTTAGTTTGATCTCGGCGGCTTGCGCTCTGTCAGCCAGAGGAAGATCTAGGACGGCCTTGAACCACGTCTCGGGCGTCCATCTCAAATATGGGTAATTTATGCCGACTGTGTTGGATGCGATAGGTTCCTTGATGTGCTGGCCAGTCGTCTGGTATGTGACTACGAAGACGAAGATGAACGCCGATAGGCAGAACACGCTTCCAAGCAACGACAGGATAGCAAGGGTGCTAAGACTTTTTCGACCCTATTCACAACTTTTAGTACCCTGTTCAAAAGACCGTGAACATTGTTACCGTACCTGTCCAGTCTTTCTCATCCTCCATGCTGTCACCATGCCGAAAATGCCCAGGAAGAATCCATATACTGCTGCGCCGTTGCTCTCGTGCCCTTGGTCCGTCCACACATTCTTGGGCTCGACATTGATTTGGGTCGGATTTCCAGGCCAGTTCACATGATACACATGCACCTGATGCTTCTGGTCATGTATCCAAGCCACCACAGAACTGATCAATCCGAATACGGTGATGGATAGAGCACAAAGTAAAGCGCTCGATGCGAACAGCAGCCGATTTATCTTTTGTCGTCTTGCCATCAATGTCATAGAGGCGGGCGCTGTGCGGGGAGAAGGTTGTAATAATTCCATATTGGCTGAGCGTAGGAGTGGGTATAATACGAGGAGAGGGACGAAAAAGCACTTCTCAGCGGTTCATGCTCAAGTATTATACGCTTCAGATCTGGGGCTGAGTTTTTCCTCCCGTCATCGTGGCACACATTCGGGCTGGGTGGATGAGCTCAGCACCTTTGCAGCTTAGTTGTCGCAGCCTTGAACCACTTCAGGCACGCTACCTCTCTCAGATGTCTAATATTAGCAGAGAACATGGGATCATCAGCAAGCATGTCGGCATCTTGATGCTCAGTCTCCTACTCGTTCAGCTTGGCATGTTTGGAAACAGAGCGGATGACGCCAAGGGAGCCATGTTGGTCAGCTCTATCGAAGTAGGAAATATGCACAATTCAGTATAAAATGCTGAAGATTGCCTGTCTTCGAAACGATGGTGAGATGACGCTGGTGCACTGTTTCTTGTTTCGAAACATGTCAATATTTGCGAAACTTGGTGGCCTCTGCGTTCACCGGGGAACAGACAGTATAACGGGGTAGATATTAGTGCACTCTTTGAACGGGAACGCAATTGCACAATTCGAAGCGCGTCTTGTTCCTCACCAAGAGGAGGCGGGGAGTTGATGGGGTGTCTTTGGAGGGTCGTGAACGTATTGGTCGGGTTCCTGACGCGCTTCGGGTCGATCCTGCCCGCCTCGGAAGAGCTGGTGGAGCTAGCACAACCAACCACCCACATTTCCACGACGCGTCTCTGTACCCTGGACCCATCACTTAGGCCATCGACGAAGCATGAGCTTTCACGTGCTGCAATTCTACACTCGGCGGTAAATGAACGAGACGGCAGAGATACAGGCCGACAGCTCTGCTCGATCGCTGTCTTTGACCCGTGATGCGACCTGCGGCACGTCTGGGCGGCGGCTAGTCGTCACACACCAAACACGCGCGTTGACACACGGTGCAACCTTTCCCGCTGCTTGCTCCAACAGCCATGTTCGATTCAATACGGAGGTCTCCACTCGCAACTTCTGCAGTTGAATCTCTCGGTATCGAGCACAGCTTGCCAATAATACTCTACGCCGGCAAGTATATGCGTGGCCCAGAATCACGCATAGCGCACAAATCCAACAATGTTTTCCGATCCCATTCTTCGCAACAGCTGTTCGCATTTGGTCCGGTCCGCGCTTTGGCTTCCCAGGCACCACGGCCGTCCCGAGGACCGGCATGAGGATGGGCGGCTATCGTATAGTCTACCTACAATCCATCGCATATGGGTAGCGCAGAGCCAATACTCTAGGCTGCTAACGATTACACTTCCAGCCTCTTACTCAATCTGTCCTTGATCTGATAGCAAACACGAGCCGAGATACAGGCAGACCCTGCTTGTGGTGGGTGTTCGATTAGATATCGAGCTGTAGTATGAGCACGGCGTAGCTAAAGCGATATGCAAGCACGGCACATACTTCTCATGAACTCAACAGGTCGTGAGCAAATGTTTATATTCCTTCATGTGGGACTATTTCTGGTATGCGGCACTCATTATTTTTACTCGCTCTCTATTCTCTCATTCGCTTCCTGCAGCCCTGCGTGTCTGGCCGGTCCAGATCCAACGCCGGGAATACATTCTTTATCAATATTTATTCGAAAATAACTTTGGACTGCACTCATGCGGCTGCCTTATCGGTCAATCAGCAGCATTCAGCCACTCCCTAGCATTTATACCACCTTCCCAGCCAACTACGGGGGCTCTGACTCAACAAACACATCTGGAATTCATTCGGGAACATGCCTAATCAGAAAGATCGAGGATGGGATCGAGGCGGTCCCTTTCGAAAGGAGTAACATCCTCTCGGCTCCTATACTCAGCCCAGATCAAGAAGAGAAAGAAGTTTTCGTACCGTCATGGGAGGAAGTCCATAATTTCAACAAGCCTCTGCCTAGCCTTCCGAGATGTATATGGCAGCGAATGTCTCAGCGGCAACGCATCTTAACTTTGCTGAGTTTACAATTTCTGATGCTCTTTACGATCGGGCTGAGTCTTCTGGCCGTCAAAGATCGTTCTTCCACCAAGTAAGATGTACGAAGTCAAATCATAAGGACGCCGTTAACATAGAGCCTACAGTGATGAGGATGCGACCGCACACGTTGCTAGCAATGGCCCTTCAAGTACCAACATTACCAACAACCTCCGACGTGGAATCTTTGCGTTGCCTATTAAAGTTCCGCAGCAACAGAGTATGGCATGTCTGGCAAGCAAGGATCAGATAAATGCATGGCAATGCGCGTCTGAAACAACCTTTCAGCTAAGCATACTTCCAGCTTTGGCGGGCGACGACGGGACGATCATGATAGCGGTGGGGCCATCGAGAAGCAACGATACTGTCCGCCATGGCGAACTCGTACCGAACATTCCACCTTTGGAGCTTCTAGCAATCACCAATGCTGAGCACGAAAATGATTTTGCTTATCACTTCCGCACTACCTACGACAAGATTGTATTGCTCAGTGAGGATGAGCTATCTCTGGCTGAAGCGCTACTGATGCATCCTGCGACTTCGAACACTCTATTTCAACCCGGAGATAGTCTGTGGCAGTGCATCTTCAATGAGACGCTGATTGAGGGTCATATCTACCCTGCCAGAGCTACAACTGCCAACGCTACCAACACTGCATCAGGCACGGTCGATGTGGATAGTTCCACTAGGCTGCCGGATTTCCCCTACGCCGTTGAGTTGGTCGAGGAGTGGACGCCAAATGGAAAGACCCCTTATTGTTCGAAAACGACTATGGAATCGGACGGTACCCTTGCTCCACTTTCGGAGGAGGTAATGTTGCGTTTGGACAATTCCAAGGGTAATGTTCCAGTTTCCACATCGCAACGTATGGGACGTATTAGGCATCGAGAGCAACGGGAAGAGACGCATTTGAGCCAGTGTCAGTGTCAATGGGTGGTCAGCTGACGCAGGTTTTTCGATCTTGCATTCGACAGACAATGCCATATCTTCGTCAAGATCGTCTTCTTTGCGCTGGTCCGACGTCTTCATTACATTTCCATTTGGGCATGTTTACATCAAATCATTACCAAAACAGCTTACGTGTCTTTATCCGCGAAGAACAGGTGGTCGATTGAATCTTGGGCGTACGGGTCCACCAAGAACCCTTTCCTCGGGTACGCCCACACATGACATGCCACACTGAGTAGACGACCAGCGAAATTCGTAATTGCCCTGCAGACCTCACAGCATCTACCGCGTCCAGGCCCCTCCCCGATCACGTTGTCCCATCGTCGGCAACCGATGGCACATCACCGGGCTCTATCTTTACTCACTCACCAAGCATTTCGATTGTCTAAAAACTGTCCTGCACGCCTACCTGCATTCAACTATTCAGCAACATCGTCGAAGATTGCGAGGACAGGGAACGAGTTCTGCGTCGCAATCATCTACTATACTATCGAAACCTTATCAAGCAAGATAGCCCTGGCATACAATGGTCCTCCCCAAGGTCACCGAATCCAGGCGAAACTCTTCAGGACGGGATCTTCGTACACAAAGCAGAAATGTTGTGCCTTCAAGGACTCCCGAAATCATACAAATACCTGGGCGGTTCAGCGCGCTTGGAACTGATAGCACTATAGCAGTAGTGGGAAAGAAGCAAGAGACTCGCGCAAGAGTAAAAGTTGAGCCCGAGAGTCCCGATAACACGGTATACCCAACCTCGCCAGCATCTCCACGTCAAGACTACAGGGAAGAAGCGAAAGTAGTCAAGCCCGGAGGGCCTTCCTCCCGTCATCATACAGTCCACATCAAGGTCGAAGATAAAGCCGATCCCGATACACCTCCACGCTACCCATCCATCACAACAGCCTGGTCCAAATCTCCACTCCGTGTGCCAACTCCCATGGCTGAACAGTTCTATCGGTCTACGGTAGTCAAGAAGGAGAGCGATGTTTCTCTGGTACATAGAGACGTACTGTCACTACGGAGCCAAACTTCAGGTCCGTCGGTTAGCTCAAGCTACAAAAGGTTTGCTGTCGAGACGTTCCGTGACTTCGATGCGTCGCACCCAGCCTCCAAAGTCAAAATAGGAGAGGAACCAGAGAAGGGATACTACGTCCCGACAGGAGCGAGCAAAGTCAAGCATGAAGCGGCATCTTCCTCCACAAACCTTTACCACCGCCATCCCGGCCCCACAGACTATTCCAGTTCATACCAGAAAGCGCCTGCAAAACATGATCCAGCATCACATTCTTCGCCCGACCTCAGACGTACGCGAAGCCACTGCACCGCCGCGCCAACCCCAGAACTCCGCTCCGAAACCAAGTTCTCTTACCTCCAACCCATCACACCCACACCCTTCAGCACCCCCTACGGTCTCGTCAACCCCCACCCTCCCGACCCATCATTATACCTCATCCCCGGGTCCCTGATCGAAGGAGTTCAACGTCGTACAAAGTGGGGCCAGAGAGATAGACGGACGAAGCGGCAGCCGCCAGCTCTGCACCCACGAGGTGTGCCCGCAGCCGAGGGTGTTGCTAGTGATAAGCAAAACGCTAAACAAGCAGGAGCGGACGGGGCTGGAAGTGGCGGAAAATGTGCGTGGTACAGACTTTCGCTTTGCAAATGCTCCAAATGGATTAGTTGTATCAAGGCAAAGTGCTCGCGTGCTGCTAAGAAGAAGTGGTGGCAGAGGAGTAAACAGCATCAGTACACCACGGAAAGGAGGGAAGACAGTGGGTTTTATGTTGTGAGGCGGGAGATTGGTCCTAATCTTAGGGTTACGGTTCGGGATGTCTGAACTACGGGGGAGTGGTGGTTGGATGTCTCGTGGGAGTGACCATCAACGGGGGGTGGTGTTGAGGCACAAAGGCCAGCTCTGTTATCAGGAACCCAATGACCAACCCGCACTCTGAGTCAAAGGCGCACTCTATTCATTCTGTCATCAGGGAAGGTGCTTGGGAAGGTGCATTTAGTGCTGCGCGGACTGGTCCTGTATTGTGCACACATACTCTACACGCGATTCGCCAGGTGGTTGCACCAATTTTCACCGGGATTACAAGGAGCAATACCCATGTAGTCGCAGGAATAATAGCGCAATATCAAGATAAGATCTCCATGGTGCCTGCCAATAGTGAGCGATCGGTGTTGTCATGTGGACCCCGAACAGCTGGTTGCCAATACAGAAGGTGCAAGGCTAGAGTTCAATCTCGCTCTCTCGCCCCCACACCTCGACCACAGCCTTGTGCAACATCACAAGGATGAAACCGCGATGCCAAAGAAACGGGTAGCAATGCACCTCATATACAAGATGGCTCGCTGTCCAGCCCCTGCCACTTCCCACTTTACTGCGAAAGTTTGCGTCTCATCTTCGCCGTCTGGTCGACATGAGTTCTCAACGTTACAGCTTACTCGGTGTGCCTGGAGCCCTTGCTTGGTAGATGGAGGAGTATGAGTCCGAGTACCGGTAAGCTTCGTTCTGCGATGAGACCTGGGTTTGTGACTGACAATTGCAGACCGCAGGGGCTCACGACTGAGGTCTCCCCAGTCAGCCTGCTCTCTGAGCACGGCTTCGCCTCAGAATACGATCACCAACAGAACCTTGAAAGTACTCAACATCAACACAATGGCAACGTCAAATCATACCCCCAGAATGAGAGCGTCAACGGCTACTCGCAGAGTTCTGGTGCGGGTGCGGTTGATCACCCGTCCGAAATCTATTTGCAAAACCACGCAGCCAGTCTCACCTCAGAGTATATGGATGGTGCGGATTCTAATATCTCGCCAGAAGCGGGCCTCGGTTCATTCGGTCAACCTCTTCGCTGCTTTTACTTCTGCACGATAGTCGGCATCTTTGGACTGGTAATCGTAGTATCTTATTTCATCACCATCTGGCACGTCTACCTCGCCTCACTCCACCCCGACTCGACAGCAGCCTTCGGACCGCCGGGTGCCAAATGGGTCTTCTACGGTTGGTTCGTCGCGGGGGTGATCGGGATGAGCTTAAGTCTCTACGGACTGGCTGGCGCAGAGGCTGGCATGCTTACGGAACGAACCTGGAGAGTTGAAGATGCCATGCGTCTTATGTTGCATGCTGACAACACGTGGTCTGGCCCTGGGGGCTGGATGAAAGCAATCAAATGGGTTGTGCAAAGACGCAGGGCGCGCAACCAGCGTAGCAAGATCCCTTCTCGGCTGTGGTTCGTTCTAGCACTTCCAAGCGTGGTTGTCTTCGTCGCTTGGCCCTTATCAGGTCTTTGTCTTGAGATGACCAGTGGTTTCCTTCATGGTAAGCCAGGGCAAGGAGCGGATGTTACCGGATTCGTTCAATCGACGTTCAACGCCGACCCTGGGGGTCGTAGGCCGTCTAGAGGATCCTACATCGGCGCACGTGTTTTCGGACACGGTGCTGTTTATACACCTGAGAACTTCAATCGATCGAAGAAGGAGTTTTTGAAGAATATCCCCGTGATACTGCCGAACACTGAGAGCGTCGAAGAAGTATTTTTGACCACTCAAGGTGAAACTCCTATCGAAGGAAAAGCTTGGGGTCTGTTGCTACATTACGACTGCAACATCGTAGACGAATTGTCTGACTTCGTTCTCTTAAAAGACCGTCGATTCTCAACAGACGTCTGGCGAAGCAACAAGATATTTCGTAATTTCGAACAAACAGGAACGGCGCGAAGTGCGGATGAGGATCCTCCCATCGACGAATCTCCAACATCAGCCTTCCCGTTAAGACCGATATACGTCCCTGGTGTAGCTGCTACCTCCAGTTTCGACGATGATGACCGATTCAAGTACAAGTCATACCGCCTCCATGACAACAATACCCTCGTGGAGGTAAAGAGAGTGTCCGGATGGAATTTCGCTGGACGATTCGATCCCGGATTACTGAGTTGGGCTATAGATATCGGTGGAGTTATAGAGACTGCGTATCAATCCCTGTCCCCACCAACAGGCTCAAACGACGAACCACCCTGCGGTTGGTCTAGTGAGAGGGAAGACCCACCAACGTCTTACTGCTACCATGATCTGCAAGAGGATCCTTCAAAACCGTATCCCGGAATCGAATACAAGACTACTTTTGAGGTTCTGTTGTGGCAGACACTTCCCGTGTCTTTAGTTTCTATGGGCAGCACCATCATCCGTAATATCGAGTCGCTGACTGGTGAGTACGTCAATGTTTATGGTAAGAAACTCGAAGCTATTGGTGCATCCTGTACGTCAAGCAGCAGTGTAGGCTCAGCAGACATCGACGGCGTGCGATCTACCTACTCCAACTTCCAACGGAGCGACACTCCGGTACCTACTCTAAAGAATGATTGTGCGAAACGCTTTGGCGCAGAAACACTCGCGTGTACACTCAACATCAAAGACGATGGTTGGCTGAGATGGCTGTTTGAATCGATAGGCCTACCGTCACCGTTTGACACATCTATAGTGAATGCTGCAGAGATTGCTGTTGGCAACTTGAGAGCTATTGCTCAACTCGAATATCTGCAAGCCGACCAACTTCGACAGGTACTTCTACAAGCTTACTCCACCTACGCCATCAAGCTCATGTACAATGACGGTCGAGACTTCATCGGAATCAACAGAACAAGCCTCAAGTCACACGTCCCCGACCTCACGGCTTTTGTCGCTGGCACCGTAATTGGACCGGGCGTCATGCCAGCCGCTGTTCCTGTGGCTTTATTCGGATTGTGGGCCTTGATCAGCTCAGGACTCTGCCTTGTCTATGGCTTCCGGCGACGATGGAGCGCGATTCTGGATGGGCATACAGTCTTTAGGCTTGGGGCCGAGTTGCAGCAGACGTACCGAGCGAAGCTTCAACGGTTTTCTACGATTGCTGATATTGAAGAGTGCGAAGCTCTGCACGAGATTCCGGGTTTTGTGGCAGATATGGATCCTGATGATGATGTAGGGAGGATTGGACTTATGGATGGAAAGCCGGCTAGGAAGGACAAGTTCTATCGGTAGTATCTCACGCATGGCAAAGTTTAGTAGCGATTCTCCCTAAGAATTCACCTTCAACGGACCAAGGACTTTGATCAAAACATGTCTTTGTCGTCAAAAATGTAGTGTGCGTATCGAACGCTCTACCGCAGAAATAATATTTACAACCAACGTAATTTCCCCTTGCATATATTTTCCTATATCATCAGAACTTCCGTCAAGCGATTTAGAACGCAAGCAAGACGGCACCCATAACAGCACCAACAAGACCACCCGCCTTGACATGGCTCGCCGCACCAGTGAACTGCGATGGTGGGGCAGAGAAGGTAGCGTTGCCAGAGGGCTGGGGCAGCGCACCGGTAGGCGCAATTGATGGCACAACGACACCAGGTGCGGACCTCGTGTCGATCTCCAGACCAGACTCGGTGGGGTAAGGAGGTGATGAAGCTGCCGCGGAAGTGATCAGACTGGAGATGGGCACGGCAGGGTACTCAGTCGTGAAGGTGGCGGGTGGTGCGTTGGTGATTGCTGGGGGAGCGCCGGTGACGGTGACAGTAGCAGTACCGCACTCGCAAGGCTCATCTTCGCTGTCGCTGCCGGTGGGGGAGTCAGGGCTGCCTGACTCTTGGGGGACAGCGGCGCCGCCGGTGGGGTAGTTGAAGCCGGATCCGCCGTTGCCGCCTGCTGGGACAGCGGGAGGTGTGGGCTTTGCTGCGTCGCTCTCTGTGCAGGTGGTGGATGCACCGGAGGGCTTGGAGTCAGAACCGCTGTCAGAACCACCGGTGGCGGCTGGGGCGTCGATGCCAGACTCGATGGGAGCTCCGGTAGCGGCAGCCGAGTCTTCGATGGCTACGCTGTTCACAGGAGCACCTTCTGTGTTACCGGCATCGATGACCTTGATGGACTTGAAATCGCCGGTCTTGTCGGTCCACTCATATTCCTTGCCGGGCGAGTAGTTGATGACCTTGATGCTCTTGACGGTCATGGTGAAGGGCGCATCATCGTAGGTGACATTTCCTCCCGCCCACTGGCGAGTGCCTTCATCCTTGGAGTCACCGCCTGGCCAGTTTCCGAGACGAACATTGCAGGGCGTCTGGGGGTAGTTCTTGCCGCCGTTGGCATCGGCAAAGTTCAAGGTACGGGTGGGCTTGTCATCAACAATCCAGGTGAGCGATTCAGAAGTCCAGTTGAGAGCGTACTTGTGGAACTCGTTCTGGTTGTTTAGTGCATCGGCCTCGATCATGCGATCGTAGGTAGTAGTGTTGCCCTGGCTGATGTTAGTCTTCTTAAAGAAACAAGTACAATTCGTGTCCACATACCTTGCCGAAGTAATTCTGCTGAACACGGCTGTCTACTCCACCAATCCATTCCCAGTCGACTTCATCCAAGTTGTCAGACTGAAGGACAATGGAGGAAATAATGCCGACGCCAGGAGCTGCCTTCATGACGACCTCAACGTATCCAAAGTGAAGCATGGCCTCGGATCCAATGGTGGGAGCATCACCCTTCTTGGCAACGGTAAACTCAGCGCCCTCGGGTCCATACTTCAGGGAACCGGCAGTCTGCTTCCATCCCTTGATAGCGTCCTTTCCGGCAGTGAAGTCGGTTTCCCAATTCTGCGGCATGGCAGGGTTGTTAGGGCACTTCTTCTCCATGGGGTTGCAATCAGTGAAGGTCTGAGCGGTGGCTAGAGCAGCCAGCACGCTCGCGGTAGTGTATGTGGAAAAGCGCATGGTGGATATCTCGGTAAAGTCTAGTTGTTCGAGATAAGTTGATAAGACAAAAAGAAGTAGCTGTCCGAGATGTGCTGTACGGAGTCGTTTCACACGCAAGACACAATGTCAACAATGCGTAGAATGGTGTTAAGGAATGTAGTGCTTCGCAAGCGAGCGTTGAAAAGAATGTAGTGACTGAGGTCGACCTGCGTCCAGAGAATCGACTGAGAGAGTGTGATGTATGAAAGGTTAGACAAAGAGTGCAGGCCAGTGCTGCGTGTCAGAGGAGCACCGACTATTAAAAGTCACGAAATGCTATACGAAGCAATCTCCCCTGCGCGCCAGGACGCGCATCAGCGGCCAGCGGCCGAAGTCCATGCGGCTTCTCAAGCCCATGCAACATGTCTCCAGTTCAAGCGCTGCGTAGACCTGAATGGTTGTGATGGCTCTCCTGAAGTGTTTCACCAGCCGTCTGTGGAGACTAGGGCGTGTCAGGATAGTCGAGCCGCGGAGCCCGTTATGGCGGCGACGCCGCAGGCGCCTATCAGAATGGAGAAGTGCCTGGCATCATCTGGCTCATGTTTCTTCTTCCCAGCCACTAATTCTTATGCTTTGGGAGTTGGCCGGCTGCGTGGATGTGGCTGTGCCGCTGCGCCCAGCAAGTGGGAGGGATTGACGTTTCCCGTCATTGCGATGCGCACCTGGGCAGCCCTGACAGCTGGAGCGATGCGCGCTCTCCTATCTAATCTTGGCGATCATCCGTCTATCAATGACGTCTCTTCAACGGCCGGTTGCAAACATGTCGGCGCATCGGACGCGCGGAGAGGTTGCAAAGGGGCATGTCTGACAGGTGCAGTTTGGTAGGCGGCGCAGTCGCTCCGACGCCCGGTGCCAGACAAGTGAGATGCAGGTGTAAACGGGGCGCTACCCAGAAATAGCTAGTAAGCTTTTCACTTGATTTTTTCTGGCTACCAAGATTCACAACTGAAGCCGAAGCTCACTTGCGCCCATGGGCAGGGCTCACTATCGGCACGTGACTCGTCGCTACACCGCCTTCCAAGGCTCGCCCCGCCGTTGCCCCTCGGTGGCAGAATTATTCGAATTTCACGTGTGACGAAATATACATGCCCATGCCGATCCTTCAGAACCTGTAAACATTCCACATACAACCAAAATGGCCACCACCGACGGAGGAGTAGAGCTACCACAGCAACAGCATGAAGAAGTTGACCAGGCTGAAAAGCCTGTCACAAACGAAACGCCTACCAACGATGACGATAACGAGATTGACGACCTTTTCGAAGACGAAGACGAGATAGTGCCAGAACTAATATCGGGTGACCACCATGACTTCACCAAAGCCTACAACCGCCAGCGAAAGCTAAACGATACGAACATCCCAGACGATCACAAGCCCAAGTCGAATCCACAGAAGCCGTCCGCCAACACAAATGCCTCCATCGACGACCAAGTCGCCTCCCTCGCGAAGCATGCGGGCAAGATTCGCCTCACCGGGCGCATGACGGGTGCGTCCGGGGGTAACGCAAGGGACAAGGACAAGGCAGACCGCGCGACAACCGAACAAGTTCTGGATCGGAGGACGCAGATGATCCTGCTGCAACTCATAAACCGCGGCGTAATCTCAGAGATTCACGGTGTCATCTCCACGGGTAAAGAAGCCAACGTATACCATGCGATGACCGAAGCTGCGGAAGAGGACGCCGACCCCATCCACCGTGCCGTCAAGGTCTACAAGACGTCCATCCTTGTCTTCAAGGACCGCGCGAAGTACGTCGAGGGCGAGTTCCGCTTCAGGCAAGGATACAACAAGAGTAACAACCGCGCCATGGTACGGATGTGGGCAGACAAGGAGCGCAGGAACCTGGCTAGAATACACGATGCAGGCATTCCATCACCGATGGCTCATGCGCTGCGGAACCACGTTCTCGTCATGGGCTTCGTCGGTGACCGCAAAGGCAAGGCAGCGCCCCGTCTGAAGGACGTGCGCTTCGAGGGTCTCACAGCAGAGGAAGAGGATGCTAAGTGGACAAGTTTATACCTCGAGATGCTGGCGTACATGCGTATCATGTACCAGACATGTCGTCTTGTCCATGCCGATTTGAGCGAGTACAACGTCTTGTACCACGAGGGCAAGCAATGGATCATCGACGTCTCGCAAGCCGTCGAGCACGACCATCCTCGCTCTCTCGAATTCCTGCGCATGGATGTCAAGAACGTGTCCGACTTCTTCCGCTCCCGCAACGTCGAGACGCTTAGTGAGCGCAAGGCTTATGCCTACATTACAAGTGCCGCAGGAGCCAAGACTGTAAAGGAGCAGACGCAGATGGAGGAAACCATCCGCAGCCTCCTAAGCAAAGAACCCTTGACCGAGGAGGAACGGAAAAAGGAAGAAGAAGACGACGACGTCTTCCGCAACCAATACATCCCCCAAACCCTCGAACAAGTCTACGACATCGAGCGCGACGCCGAGCTCGTCAACGCCGGTGGTGCCTCCGACCTTCCCTATCAATCCCTCCTTGCCGACAACGTCGTCAACAACGGCTCTGATGCCTCCGATGCTGAGTCTGACGATGGTAGCTCAGGATCTGAGGTTGATCAGAGTATCTTCGACAAGGGCCCCAGCCGTGGAAAGAAGCATGTTGATCATGACGAGAAGGTGGCGCATAAGAAGGCTATCAAGGAGGAGAAGCGTGAGAAGAGGAAGGAGAAGATGCCGAAGCATATGAAGAAGAAGTTGGTGAATGGGGGTGGGCATAAGAAGAAGTGAGCCTGGGTATTATCTGGCCTTGCAGTCTTGTCGCAATCGCAGAGTGTTTGAATGCATGTGGGTAGGGATACTATATCCAGTCGCGAGTCCCAGTTTCCATGCGGCATAAAGGAGAAGCATAAAGAGAAGAAGCCTCTTAGGCTAGTGCAGAAGGGTCGTGCTAGGGCCTGAACAGCCACCTTACAGCGCTGCTTCAAACTCCACTACGCAGAAGTTCGGCTCTTCTGAGTCGTATCTGATTCACAGCGACCCTAAGGGTACATGCTACCGTGTGTGCTCTTCACGGTTCTGGGTACGGCTCAAGGAGGGGAAGCTGCTTCGTAGCAGACCTAGTCGAGCACAAATGTTCGGAGTCTACCCCAGTATGCTAGATAGATGCGATCGAAGTTGTTGAAGTAGCGTGAACAGAACATCATTCCACCACATAGCTAGATCTTTATTTGCTTTATAGCATATTCTTCCTCCACGCCCTCGTACCCAACTTCTCAATCTCAGGCACTTCAACTGGGCCCCTAACATCTTCATCTTCCAATGCCTCTACAACCGCCTCACCCACTAGATCTGCTTTCAGTGGCTTAATGCCACCTGCGCCCATGAGCCATGTCAGCCTTCCTCCAACCGCGCTGTTTATCATCGCAGCCACGCCGCCTGCTGCCGCTATAGGGAGTGTGAATGTGCGGCTGCTATCGTACATGAAGGGCGCGCGAATGAAGATCGATCGCATGGTAGGGAAGGTAGATGCGATGAGGGACTCGGCTTCGCGTTTCGTTGTGATGTAGCGTGCGGGGAGAATGGGTGTGCCTGCTGCGGCGGAGATGTAGAGGTAGGTTGGGACTTTGCGGGTTGAGGCTTCTTGGGCTAGGGAAACGGCTGTTTACACACAATAGTCAGTCGTTTGCGCCAGTTGAGAAAGCAATGGCAATGCCAGTGCGAACATACCAGTATCGCGATTCATAATCTCATACGTAAGCTGCCCATCGCTCTCCTGCGGCCTCAACTTCTCCCCCTCCTTCCGTGTGAGCGGATTCTGTGTTCCGGCCTTGGTGCTGCTGAAGGCGCGTTGTAGTCCTTTGATTGGGCTCTCCCGTCCGCTAATTACGCCTTTGTAGTCGGCTTCTAGCAATATGCCCATGCTGTGTATTACGGCATCTGCGCCTTCGAGATGCTTTGTGTAGGACTCGGGGTCGAGTATGTCGCCTTTTTGCCATGAGACCTTTTCGGACCAGTCGGGTGGTGTTTGCGATGAGGAGACGGATGACCAGTGGGGTGTGCCGGAGCGTCTGGGAGGTGTTAATAGAGGAATGGAACGATGTGGGAAGGATGGTGTGCGCGTACGAGATTGAGGTTACGCTCCAGCCTCTATGTGCTGCTGCTCTACATATCCGGCTACCTGTTTGCTACATTAGCTAGCTGTCGTGCTGGTGTAAAGCTATTGCTCGAGCTAGCTCGGGGGAATTCCTCAATTGCATACCCAAGAAGCCATTGCCGCCGCATACCACGAGTTTCTTCTTTGCAGCTTGTGCTGTCGTTGAGGCCATTGTTGTGTTGTGTGGTGGTTGATCAGACAAATGGTCAAATTGTTGTCTGCTACGGCAATGGCTGATGGAAAGGGACGAGTGCTGATGTCACTCCACTTCGCGTCTGTCGCGTAAGATCGAACAGGGATATGCGGAGATGCTGTTCACCTCCGCGTCTTGCGTGTAAGTCCCGTCGTTGCCACAAAACACAATACAGCATGATATACAGACGGACTAGACACGGTGAACCTGTTACTAACACTATGCCGCTGTAACGCACGTCGCATTCGCAGTTCTGACCAGTAGAAAGAAAGTCCATGTCGTCATGACGCTTCATATTAGCGTACGGGAGCTCTCCTTCGGAGACAAATGCAATATAGTATTGTACCTGCTGTATTGCCTCTTGCATCTATTCAGACGAAATCAACATTTATACAAAAAGCTATCATGCAGGCCTTCAGAAACCTCTTCAAGAACGATCTCGTCCTTGTGGGCACGAATCTCACCGTTGTAGCCGGCTTCGCGACTTATCTAGGTAATGCGCCTTCTCTCCAAATATCGTTCTGTTACAAGGCGCGTAATATTCTGGTTCTAATAATTGTATTCTAGGCTCCCGGGTGACGAAGAAGCTGGACCACATGGAGGAGGAGCAGGAGGCGCGCATGGACGAGATAGAAGGAACGCTACGCGGCCACATTGGGCTGATAGAGGACTCGTTGGATAGGATCGAGGGAAAGCCAAATGCTGGAAAGCAAGAGAAACTGTACAATCAGAGGACGAGAGATGAGAAGGGAGGTGGAAAGGGCCAGGACAAGTAGGCGGGGCGGGCTGACAAGGATCAGCTGTTAGCTTGCGTGCCTGCATATCGGTGCCAGTCGTAGCTCGACCTTTGACAGAATACACGACTTTATCATTTGCGCAAACCACTTCACACAGCATACAAGACCGCGCCTGTTCATCTCACCTCGTGCGACTTACAAGATGCCTGCGCCCGCCTCAAATAAGCGCGTCAAGGCAAGTCGGCCGCTTCGTTACAGCTGTAGGCGCATACTGATGATGGGCAGAACAAGCGCATCAGTCGCAACCTCAGTAAGACGCAGCACAAACCATGCGCCAAATCATATACTCATTCTGCGCAGTAATCGGCTCCGAAGCCTGGCAGCTGCCCCCAGTAGGCCACCCCGACCGCCCGAAAGGCGTACCCGACGACCACACGAAGCGCTGGACCGTATACGTGCGCGTACCCGACGGCGACCCCGACATCCGCGCCTGGCTCAACAAAGTATCGTTCAAAATATTTAACACATACGAGAACCCTTTGCGCATGGTGGAGAAGCCGCCATTCGAGGTGACCGAGACAGGATGGGGAGGTTTCAACATCGACATAAGACTGCACTTCCAGCCCATCTCAGGCGAGAAGGCGCAATACCGACAACACTTCCTACAACTAGAGAAATACGGCGACGAGAAGATGCAAGCAGAGCAGGAGCGAACAGGCTGCGTGCGCTCCGAGTTCCTCGAAGTGGTCCAGTTTAACGAACCCACCGAAGCCCTCTTCGACGCCCTCACATCGGAGGACCAGTGGAACTACCTCATACCCGCCGGCAAGGGCGGCTCTAAGAAAGCCTCGCTCGGTGCGAACGGCAGGCTCAGACGCGGTCTGCCCAACGGCGAGCGCAGCGCACAGCTACCGGAGAAGGGAGCCGACGAAGTTCCTTTCAGCCAGGAACAAGAGCAGGCGCTGCAGGATTTCTTCAAGCAGAAGATGGAGGATGTGGAGAGGCAGTTGGATAAAGAGGCTAAGAAAAAGGAGGAGGTAGAGGCGAAGCTCAAGGCATTGCGTGGTGAGCTGGGGCACGAGGCCGCTCAGCAGGCTGCGCAGCAGGCTAGTGGTGATAGGAGCCGGCGCAGGTGAGGATGCGTGATGCAAGCTCACTGCACCGATGCCTTGAGTCGCGGATGTCACGGATCCTACACATGAGTTGGCACAAAGAAGGCTGACAGTATGCAAGAAGGGATCGGAAACGGCGGCGCTAATGCACAACGATATATCTTCGCGGAGCGTAGATTAGGGAAAACGGGTACCGTCTTCTCGTCGCTCCAGTCGAGCACCGCGCGGCTCCGAGCGTATCCCGAGCCGTCGGGCGACTACACGAATCTCTTGGGAGTCGTTCGTTAGATTACGCCAGGTTATGAATCGGACATACACGTATACGGGAGGCAGATACCGAGGTCTTGTACTGGCTTACGACCTGCACCGTACTGTACGTTGATGCAAGGGGTACATAATACGCCGTGTTTCGGGTAATACTATAGAAATGAGCCGTTTGCCCCGAACACACGTACTTCCGTACATGCAATGTTGCATCTCGTATAATTCTGATCAATGTAGTGCACTAGGTGAATACTCATGATTGTTCTTTGTATTGGGTATCGTATCTCGGCTCGTGTTGTCCGTCACCCCCACCGCCCATGTATGCACCAACCTGCGTGCATCGTAAACGCCCGCAAATGCCAAATATGCCTACCGTAGCCAAAACACCTTGAATGCAAACACTTTCGGATGTGAAAATCACTCGACTTCCATATCCTTCGGTTCCTTGGGCTCTTGCGACTCGTGGAACTGAATGGCGTCGTCAATGTAACTCAGCACCGCACCCAGACTATCCTCGTCCTGCACGTCCAGCTTGAGAAACGAGACCATGCTGAAGCCATCAATGAGCTCCGCCACAGCCTTGTTGAGCTTGTGAAACGAGGACCCGCTCATAAGACTCTCAGTCGACGCCGGATCTTTGTATTTCCTCTCTTCCTCCGGCGTTATCTTCTTGCGCGCAGGATCATCCTCAATGAGATCCGCATCGACATCAACGAAGCGCTTGAGATCGCGCTTCGCTATCTGCCCTTTGACCAGATCCATCTTGCTCAGTATATTGATATGCGGCATCTCCAGCATCATCATAGCGCTCATCGCAGACAGTGTGCCAGAGAAGAATTTCGGCCGATCGATAACAAACGTCGCTTCGAGGAGGTACGCAGCGCACATGCGGATGTTGAGGGAGCCCGTCATGAGGTGCTTGACCAAGCCCGGTAGTATGGGTACGTGTGTGTAGAGTTCGATCTGGCCGGGCATGTCGAAGACGATGAGGTAGTCTTCGGTGACTTCTTCGAGGGGGTCGGTGAGCCAGTCGAGGTTCTCCATGAGGAACTCGAAGCAGTAGATTAGGCCGCCGTTGGGGCCGAGGCTCATTTCTTCCATTACATCTTCGAGGCTGATGAGGTCTTTGATGTCGAGGTCGGGCTCGAAGGCGAATTCTTCGGCGGCGGGGTCGAGGTTTACGTAGAAGCAGGGGCGTTTGCTGTTTTGGAGGTGTTGTATTAGAGCGGTGCAAAAGGTACTCTTTCCGGCGCCTTTGATATGGGTGAACGAAGTCAGCAAATGTCTCGTGTGCAGTCTATACAGAGATGCATCTCACCCGCAGGGCCCTTGTGTTGTTAGTTTAGGATATTCCTCCAAAGAGCGATCCACATACCATAACCAGGGTGCCGTATTTACTCATCGTCGCGGTTGAGCTCTCAGTTGTTATGGCGCGTCACTTCGGCTTAACAGAATCGAGGCGGGACACTTTTCTGCGGGCGGGCGGTGAGGGATATGAGGGGAGCGCGTGTGGTTGGATCTAGCACGCCGAATGGCGACATAGCGTCCCCACGCTGCCCAGCTGCGGTTCGGCCGCCCTGCCTCCCCCATCCACTTTTTTTCACTTTGTCGGCAGTTAGGTTGCCCAACGTCAAAGCTCGCTGCATGCTTAAATCTGATCCCACTTCTTCTAGCCCCTCATTCCCTCTCCTCACCATCCTCATCTTCCTTCTATAAGAGCGTGGTCGGTCGAAAGCCCTAACTAGCAAACCATTCACTTCCTCCCAAATCAACCGCCAAAATGACTGTCATCAACGGAAAGGGAAACTCCACCTTCCTCTTTACAAGTTCGTACCCCATAACCCATAACCCATAACCCATAACCCATAACCCATTTGCGAACTACCTTGAGACCACGCTGACCTCTATATCTCTAGGCGAGAGGTCTGTCCCTAAGTGAACGGTGCACGTAAGACATACTAATTTCTCCTGCAGTGTCGGAGAAGGACATCCTGACAAGATCTGGTACGTACGCTTCTTCCAGTCCTTCAATTGCTCTCAGGGCCGTTGTTCGGTGCGCGACAAGACACGTATTGCTCGGCGCGATAGACCGCATCCCCACCTACTGAAACCGGCCGGGACTTTCCCCACAACTCTTCGGTACATATCTGACTGTATGCCAGCGACCAAGTCTCGGACGCCATCCTCGATGCCTGCCTCAAGGAGGACCCCCTCTCCAAGGTCGCTTGCGAGACCGCCGCTAAGACCGGTATGATCATGGTCTTCGGTGAAATCACCACCAAGGCCCACCTCGACTACCAGAAGATCATCCGCGGTGCCATCAAGGACATTGGCTATGACAGCTCCGACAAGGGCTTCGACTACAAGACATGCAACGTCCTCGTTGCTATCGAGCAGCAGTCGCCCGACATTGCTCAGGGTCTCCACTACGAGGAGGCTCTCGAGAAGCTCGGTGCTGGAGACCAGGGTATCATGTTCGGATATGCCACCGACGAGACCCCCGAGCTCCTCCCTCTTACCGTCCTCCTCTCCCACAAGCTGAACTCGGCTATGACCGCTGCCCGCAAGGACGGCTCTCTGCCATGGCTCCGACCCGACACCAAGACTCAGGTCACCGTTGAGTACGCCCACGATGGCGGTGCCGTCGTCCCTCTCCGCGTTGACACCGTCGTCGTGTCTGCCCAGCACAGCGAGGACATTACCACCGAGAAGCTCCGTGAGGAGATCAAGGAGAAGATCATCAAGAAGGTCATCCCCGAGAAGATGCTCGATGACAAGACCGTCTACCACGTATGTCCACAAACTTCCACACGTCCGTCCAGCATACTAACATAGCCAGATCCAACCCTCCGGTCTCTTCATCATCGGTGGTCCTCAGGGTGACGCCGGTCTCACCGGACGTAAGATCATCGTCGACACCTACGGTGGCTGGGGTGCCCACGGAGGTGGTGCTTTCTCCGGAAAGGACTACTCCAAGGTCGACCGTTCCGCCGCGTACCTTGCGCGCTGGATCGCCAAGTCTCTGGTTCAGGCCAAGCTGGCCCGCCGCGCACTCGTGCAGCTGTCCTACGCCATCGGTGTCGCCGAGCCCCTCTCCCTCTTCGTCGAGACCTACGGCACCTCGGAGCGCTCCTCCGACGAGCTCGTCGAGATTGTCAAGAACAACTTCGATCTCCGCCCCGGTGTCATCGTCAAGGAGCTCAACCTCATCAACCCCATCTACTTCCAGACCGCCAAGAACGGTCACTTCACCAACCAGGACTTCACATGGGAGAAGCCCAAGGAGCTCAAGTTCTAATTCTAACGCCTTGATTAAGACATAAAGGTGGGCTTGAATCAACTTCAGCCCAACCGTTTTCAAAGTTAATAAACGCGACGACAATGACGTCCGTCGCGCAGTCAGTGAGTGAGAAAGATTTGCATATCTTTGGGAGGCGGGTAAATGAGCCTTTTCAACAAGTGTTTCAACGGCGTCCACAGGGCATTACAACTATACCCACATGATACCAGCCCGTTTGTACTTTCCAAAAGTTTCCTATGCGGATTTCCTTTTCATTTAGATCGGCCTAGGGCAGGCTGTAGATATACAGAGCTTCAACAATTGTTGGACCGCAGTACGTTGTCAACACGTACGTGAGGTCGTTTCGCGCGCTAGTTCGCGAAGTTGGTAGTGGTTGGGGAGGATGGGATATAGGGAGAATCAATCAAGTGCCAGCTAGTCTGCGCTGGGGTCTTTGACTTTGGCGCGGGTAGTATGGTGCTATACCGACGTATTCATGTGTTTGTGTTGCTGTGATGTGATGTTGTGCGCTACATGATGACTTGTCCACCTCAATCAGGGAAAGAGTAAACGCGTTGCCTGCTACAATAGATTCCAGCGATGACATGCTCTGTAATAGTAGAGGTCCTTGAAGCCTACAAATATGAGGCTTCCGATGACCCCTTGCTTGAGTCTACTCCCAAGGACAATGACAATGAGTAAGAATGTATTTATACACTTGAGCTGAAAAAGATCTAAACAGTGGTATTCTGATTTATAGCCAAGGTGAGAGTAGAAACCGTTCCTTCGCCGCTCTATCCAGCAGCGACACTAGCCATGTAAAAAGGGCCATCCAACCCGACTCCAATAATCTATGCTCTTGCGACTGCCATGCTCATAAAGGTATTCTAATGCCAAAAGGGTAATAATCGTAATCGTGCGTCCATGCCTCGTCCCATCTCATCTCATCCTCCATCTCACCTCAGCCACCAACAACACTCCCGCTACCCACACTACCACCAAGATCCCAGTAATTTCTCGATGACCCACCACTTCTCTTGCTCTTCTTGGTACTCTGACTGGCGCAACTAGAGCTACTCCTGAGTTTAGTCTTGCTGCCACCGGTCGGGGGCGCGTAGTATGTAGCAAAGCGCCGTGACTCCCTCGAGTGAGGGGCGGACGACGTGGGGAGTCTGCTATCGGTCGTCGTCCGGTTTACCAAAGGGTGATGTTGGCGGATGATGGCTGCTCGGCGGGCGGAGCTGAGGTTGTCGTTTGTGGTTGTGGAAGGAGCGCTGGCGGTGCGGAGGGGTTGTGGTGGGGGGATGGTTTGCGAAGACGAGGGAATGCTGGGGCGTCGTGAGGAGAAGCGTTTCATGAGGAAGTTGAAGATCATTTTGACGTCGATGTCGCGTTCCCAGTACTCGCGCTCTCGCGCTAGCTCGTCGGCGATGTTTGTGGTGGGGGCAGGAGGGATGTGGGATGAGGTTGCGGCTTCAGTCTCGGTAGGTTCTTCTTCAATACCCCATAATGATGCTTCGCTGTAGGTGTGTGAGGTTTGCGCAGGAAAGGTGGGTGCGAATTGAGCTGAGGCGGGGGATGTGGTAGGTTGTGAGCTTGCGGTTTTCGAAGATAGGGGTTCAGATGCGACTGTCGTGTTTGATAATACTGGTGTAAGACCTGCGTAGTCTGGCACTGACTGTGTTCGTTGGTACGTAGAGAAAGCTCCTGGGTGCTCAGAAAGCTGGTTGACCAACGTTCCCAACTCCTGAGCTACCCTCTCAAGCAGCTTCGTCTGCCAGGTATCATCTGAAAACCTGGACGCGTCGATACCTGCGTCTTGCAGAGCTTTGTCTGCTGAGAACTCGGCAGGCGTTCCAGGCGTAGGCGTGGCGACCTCATCGGGTAAAGACTCTCCGAAGATGACTGAGAGTGTGTCTTCGTCCAGGCCGATCAGATCCCTGATCACCCGTCGCGTTATCCGCTGCCACAATGATAGATTCTCCGTGCCTTCCTCCGAAGACTCGCTCTGTACGTCCGATACAGACTGTGCAGTAGGCGGTTTTGTGCCTACCTCCTTTTGCGCATCAACCCGACTCGCTCCCGTACTAACCATGCTCATTCGCCGCCTCCGCCTTGTCTCTTTTTCAATCTCTTCCAGTAATGCTTTACTTTGCTCAAGCCTCCACCTTTCAATGCGCTGTCGCTTCTCGTGTTCCGTGTTCGTATCCTCATGATCGTCGAGGACTGACAGGTGCCGCTGCACGCTGGATCGCCGCCTGGGTGCTCGTCGCTTCTGTCGCTCGAACTGCCACATGTGTTCCTGCATAGTCGCATTCGGCTTGAACTCGCCCAGTCCGTCATGGGTTGGTAGCACAGTATCACCGCTCTCTTGCATCCTGCCTACTGGCGCACCATATTCCGATGGCTCATGGAACGCGTGTAGGCCATCATCTAGGCTATCCAGCTCTTCTTCCGTCCCAAGAAATGAGCCAGCACCATCATCTTGTTCGGACCGCGCAGCAGTCTCGAGCGAGCCAAACTCGCTGAAGCGTGACAGACCAGCTGTCCGTGGAGTTCGGTCGGTCGAAGTGGTGTGGGTGCGAGTGGTAGCAGAAGGCGCGGTCGGCGAGAACAGGACCCATTCCTCTGATTGATCAAGAGGTCTGTTGGCTTGTAATGAGGTAGTTGCGGGTTCGGTCGCGGGTTCTGGTGCTTGGTAGGATAGCTGCCTTCCGGGCTGCGGTCTGTGCTGCTGTATGAAAGCCATGGTGTAGTAATCTGAAGTGTGCCGCGACGTATACGGTAGTGGCGATGAAGGAGTCAAGTGCTCGGACAAGGCACGTGGACGTCGGGCAGATAGGATAAATTGTGAGGTTATGGAATAGTATCAACGCGTCGCGTTGGGGGCGGTGTGTTCCTTATCGTCGTGTTGGCCTCATGCCTCGTTGCGACGTTTACCACTACTTCTAGCGGTGGGAGGGGACGAGTGTATGATGCCCAGTATGTCGTGCGCTAGGGACACGCTACTACTGCAGGCGGCGGGTGATCAGGCGCAAGTGCGGTAAAACAAGATGTGACGAGTCTACCAGAGATAAACGAAACACGCGGCAGAGGCAGCGTCCTTGCAAGGCGACAGAGATGTGGAAGGGAGGCTGACCTGCGTCAAGCATGCGGCGAGGGTTACAAGAATAGAGATGCGCGTTCAGCGACCCTGAGGTGAACTTCCCTGATAAGAGATAACCAGCGAGGCCCGCTTTAGCAGCTAGAGCACCCCCGCGGCGTCCCACAAATGCCAACTACACACGCTGCACCCTCTGATGATGATGTGATGAGCCAACGATTACTGATTCGCGCCATGTTTCCTGCCCTCTGACTCTGCGAAACCGAAGAAGGGCCAGCGACGTTTTCTAGCCGTCGCTCAGTCACGCAATCGTGCATGCGATATTCGCTCATGGATTCGCAACCTCCACCCCTTACGCTAGAAGACTGTCAGATCTGCGTGCGGCACCGGGCAAGGTGCAGTCGCAAGCTATTCTCATCACCAACATGACATGATCCCGAAAAACCTTCGTCAAGCCCCGAGCCAGACTCCCTCCATTATGAAGCACCGCCAACACGCATTCCATCGCCCGAAAATGCTGCGAACATTTCGCGTCACGTCAGTCATGCCCCGAATGTTGTCCTCTCCGATCATCGCCCCGATTCGGCGATTGTCGCCCGCTTTCGCCCGCTAGACTTACCCAACGCAGCAGTACAAGTGAATGTACTCCAAGCATGACAAGGAACACGTCTCTGCAGATTCTGTCGCGAGACGACTTGCCTGTTGAGTCACCCAGTTCCACCGCCAACACGAGAGAAAAAATCTGTAAGATGAACAAGCACGTATGCGTTAGGTAGGTATCGAACGACGCTATTCAGGTATAGTACAGATGCCACAAACGCCGTGCAGCTATACAATGAGTGTCAACAAAAGGTCGCTATCAATAATGTCATATCCTCGTCATCGCATCTTCAAGACGCCGAATCATACTCTTTGCCGAAGACGCGTTTTGCGTCTTCCTCATTCATTTCTTCACCCTCGCCAATGTTCACCCACCTCTTTGTGATCCTAGATTTCTCTCCGGGACGTCCCTTAAGCACACACTCGCCGTTGCCTTGACAAATTTCCTGCCGCCCTAGATTCTTGAAGCGGGGGCCAAGTGGTCCATTGACGTAATGGTACTGGCCCAAGAAGCGGTATTGTCGGGGGTCGCTAAGTGGGTAGAACTTATCGCCCCAGTGGCCGCCAAAGTAGAACCATGAGGTAGGTGCGTGCGGGTTGAGGTTCGATGCAACAAGGCGGTCGGACCGGTAGTCGTACTTGTATGAATACATGTTCATGACAGGGTCCCAGAGAGGGCCCCGATCTGTGACGTCGTGGAGGATGCCACCAGGCAAGACGTACGGATGTACACCTTCCGTAGCGTACATCGCGTGGGTACCGGTAGCAGAGAAGCCGATGGGCTAGATATGTTAGTGTCGCTTACGGTGTTGAGACATTGAACTTACCCTCTGTCCACTCTTCTCTACAGCGTCCCAGGTGTACGCTTCTCCAAAGCTGTGTTCACTAAAGAACACTGCTTTGGGCTCGCCATGTTGAAACCTGACCACAGTATGTTCCCAGTCACCAACGTGATTGCCGAAACGAATGTTGAAAACAGCGTTACCAAGGTTGTAACTATAAAAGAAGAACCAGAAAGCGTCCACCACACCATCACCCTTGTCTACAATAACCAGCGGTACGGGCGCATCACTTCGACCACCGACGACTTTCTTGCCAGTGAAGCTGCGTCGAGCATAACGCAGCTCTGATCGCCAGTGTTTATCATCGTCATCAACGAGCTCTTCGCCTTCGGGCAATTCCGAAGGGACTGGTAGACCGGGAGCTGTGGGATCTGGCCGGATGCCACCTCGATCCCTAGTATCGCCAGCACCGACATGCCACCAGCTTGACTTTTCGCCATTCTTGTCCTCCGTGAGATGTCCAGGCACTTTGTGATACTCTTTGTCGTCATCGTCGTCATTTCCATCATTCGGCGCGTTGGGTATGTTGTAATCCGCACCCAGCCAGGACGGGCGGTCCTCGACGTTGTCATCGCTCTGGAGGTACACAAACCGTCCCCACTTGTTAAGGTCACCAAGATCACTAATGTTCGGGTGGTCGCTAGATGCTTGCAGAGGCGTGTAGTTCAGATGCGGTGTAGTGTGAATCAAGTGTTCTGCCATGTCACCTGGCCAGTACTCTTCTCCAGAGAAGAGGTGGATGAGGGGCGCGTGGTCTATCACGTATTGTGGTATCTCGAGTTGCTCCGACGGTTTGTAATCACCTGGAATGTTTCGCGCATCATTCCAGAAGTCGGTCAAATTGACCTTGGCCTCCTTTCCATCTTCCGTTGTCCTCTGGCTCTGCGCTTTCACAGTCTGTGTGGTCCATTGCGCCTTGTTCAGATGCGCCAGGCCACACATGCCGAACCAATTGCAGGCCTTCCGGTCTACCCATGACTGAGACGACGCGACCCAGGCCGCTTCGTCTGCGCGTTCGCTCGAGGGGGTCAGGCTTTCGAAAAGAACGTTTTGGTATAATTGCGAGAACGAGAACAAGCCAAAGAAGGTACCCGCAGCAGCGATGGCGGGTTTCCTGCCCTTCATCTGAGCGTCGTCCTCGGTTAACGAGTCGTCGGTACCAGCGAGAGATGTAGTAGCCTCTTCAGATGGTTTCGTTTGGGAAGAATGCTGCGTAGGAATATCGATGGTAGGTAGGAAGTGGGAGTGAGCACCGTCCTGCGCAGCGTCTGGAACTTCGGTCGGAGGATCGGGAGAGTATGTTGCTATCGGAGTGTACTCAGGTACATCTATTGAAGGTATGGATGAAGACGGAAGCGATGACGGAAGGACCGCCTGCAGTGGGACCTGCCCTCCGCCATGCTGGAGGTATGGAACGATGGGCACTGACTGGTTAGCTTCTATTCACAGGCTCGAACAGGCAAAGTAGGAGACATTTGGCTCGAGGTAGGAAAGATCTGAAGCCGATACTGCCGGATGGCTGACAAAACGGCAGGCGTGGCCCAAGATCCGATAGTCGACAGAGCTATGTGATGCCGGACATGGCAAGTGCAGGGCGCGACTGGCTTGATCGACAGTAGAGCGGCCATCGCACAGTCCAAAGAGGCTTGAAATGGGCTAATGGTGTAGGGAAAAGCGGGGAGGGCGCGGAGGTAGCGGAAAGGTCATGATGACTTGGAATGCTCTAATCTGGCCGGACATAGGCGGAAGGACACTTACTGATGCGAGTAGACGGCCGTGGCCAGCCGATTGCGTGCAAGAACCCGGCTTGAGAGGATGTCGGATTGCCAATGTGAGCAAACACTCAGTGCGACAATGGAACAGGCAGCGCGACAGTAGTTGGCATCGAGGTGGCGCGTACGTTTGGTGTTTGATGCATGTTGCACAGCTGCCGGCTGGGCACACGTCGTCATCCCTGGTTCCAGACGCCGCGGGGACCTCGGCAGGCATGCGGCTCGCAACTTGGCTTCCAGGCACGGCCTGCAGCAATCGCACACCCACAACATGGGGAGGTTAGTCTTAGCTGTGGCTTGTTGCATGTCCCTGCCACTTCATGGTGGATCCAAGGTTCAGTCATCTGGTGAAGGGTGGCGTAGAGGACTGTGTCTGTTGTTTTCCGAGCCTACCACGACGCGCAAAAACACGGCTCCAGAATATAGCGGAATCATGTATCTGCTCGTGATCATCACACTAGCAAAAGAAGTGGTCTCTGCCACCTTCGCGACAAAACGCAAAAAAAGAACGATCTCCCCACCATGAGTCGAACAAGGGACCTTCTGATGACAGCAGATATTACAGTCAGACGCTCTAAACCAACTGAGCTACGGGGAGAATACTTCAATCGAAGTCGTGCTTGGTTTTTCGATGGAGAAATGGGCAACAATAACATTTATATTCCAACGATATTTGTCGGCTCTGATGCTTCCGTGCAAGTCGAACCCCTCTAGTTGGCGACCAATTTGCACCCTTCTCTCACCCGGCCCCACCACTGTTAGCTTTGCGATCCTTCAACCTGCGCCAACGCACAACAACGCCGCTAATCATGGCCGCGCCTGAGGAGGATGAGTGGGAGTACGAATACGACGAGAACGAGACAGAAGATTTCTACGTCCCGCTCGATTTGTCTAATGTCCCTGCAGCGCAGATACCCATGGTCTCGCAGGGTAGACCAGGTCATCCGACTCTGCTCAAGAGCCGATTGCGCGCACTGAATGCCGCTCGAGCTCAACCAACCGAGTTCGCCGCCGACAGCAACGATGGACAAGAGACGGCAACCATGGGCGAAGTTCAAATCATTGGCCTACACACGCCAAACCCACTGGTCATGTACAACGGCCAGCTGCTGAGTTGCCATTGGACGTCGACTGTCGGAACCGACATGTTCTTCGTGAAGCCGAACGCGAACCCATCAACTCAATCAGACACGCTGCGATCTCTGCCGTCGGTCGACTTGTTAGCTCTAGGCTCCGCAAAGCTGGTAGCAAAGGTTGGACGTTTGCGACCGCGCGACGACCTCTTCGACGACGCTAGTAATACGCAACAGGCAGCGGAGGTCGCGTCTACTGCAGACGGTAACCAGGGTACTACAACAAGCGTAAACAACATACCAGACGTTCAGCATTCCAGCAACGAAGAGGCCTCACCCGCTTCGTCGAGCTTCCTTGCCAGGCTGAATGAGGCCAAAGCCAAGAGAGGAGAGAAGTCGCGCTTGGCAATCTCGAAGACATCAGAGGGCTCGCGTCTAGTCGCAGAGAAGGCAACAACTCGGATCGCCAATGCAGGAACTGGTACCTCGCAAAAATATGGCGACTCGGTCATGGGCGGCACGTGAGATGTATGCGAAAGGCAATGGATAGCCGAAGGCGGTAGGACCACCACGTGCTACCTCATTCAAACAAGTCGCGAAGCACCATTGCGAGTTAGAAGGACTGTCTCAAAGCGTATGTCAACGACAGAAGATGGCTGAACAAACTCTAAGCGTAGTAGGATAAAGCGATATGCTGCAGTATCCGCAAGAGTGCTGTCACTGCGTAAGACCTACTTAGGTGCACTTGCCACGTCGTCCACCAGTGTACCTGCCGCCAAAGCGTAAGCTCGAGGCGCCTTCGTTCTAGACCGCACATGGCTACCTCTTCAGACGTGCTTCCAATGGACTATCACATCGGTCACGTCTCCTCCACATTCTATTATCTCATACCTGATCTATCATCCTGCCCCCTACGCATACTCTACCTTTACCCATCCCGATGCAGCGAAAACTAGACAGACTGAGTGTCGGCATCATTCCAAAACAGCCTCTAGACATGACCGACACGTCCCTACACTGGCTGTTTGGTAAAGATGGTGGCTATGTCACCCGGCTCAATGACGACTACGCTCAAGACACACTGAACGACAACATCCCATCTGCAAAATCAGAAGCAAGAATCACGAGAGAGATCGGAGACTGGATGCAGTCACAATAATGTGATGAGTTCTGGGCGCCTCGGGCGCGGCAGCCTCGTCGCGTTAGCAGCTCTGAGCCGGGGGGCTGCTCTTCGAACTGACAGATACAGACATTTCCAACTGCAAACCAACTACTTGAACAACTTCATGACGACAAAATCATGACAGACATCTCTCCAAGTAACATCGTCGCCTGCGAGACGATTCTCCAACTCATCGCTTTGCAGTTGCTAGCAGCGTGCTATACCCTCTCACCCCCTTCGAGCGCAAATCATATTCCACTGTTCCAGCAGCGCAAAGAGAGAAGATTCGTGACAGCCCTGCGGTCACATTCCCATCACCGGTATTCTCCAGCCGCCGGTCACCAAGCCCGCCCACCTTCCGAGACGGAATCTTGGCCTGGGCTTTATACGGGGCCTTCTACCGAAGAGAAGCTGGCGCAATACGTCAGTCAGAGGCGTAAGATACGCAAGCAAAGCAGCGATTATATACCACACTTCACTGCGAGCGGATGGACAGATGGGCCGCCAGCGATAACCACACGTGAAGACTCACGGAGCCCCTTATCACGAGAAAGCTCCAGCTCCTCATCTGAACCCGGGTTCTTCTCCAAACTGATATGTCAGGCAGCAGTACCGAAGAACTATCGGCGAAGACATGACACCATATTTTTTAGTCGCACTACTTCGAAACAAAAGAAGCAAGAACGAACACAATTTGAGGACAAGTCGGACAATCGCGCGGAACGCCAAAAGATTAGTTCCCAGCCCGTTCAACGTATACCCTCGTTACATCGTCTCAGGCATACCCAGTCTGCTCTGTGCATTGAAGTAGAAGCAGACATGGAAGGTGTAGGTAAGAATACTGCCAATCGACGGGTCCGAGGGGTGACGTTTCCCGTCATGTGGGCTTTCGACAGGTATCTCTTCTTCTAAATCCCTGAGGTACGACGCACCTCTGTTACACCAAATTCCAACTGGGGCCCCGCTTCCTCGGAAGAGGGCATGATGCGTGCCTGCGGACGAGGAGATCTCATCGTCACACGGGACTATTTCGACGATGTGCCCGAGACCCCAGACAATGCACGTCACCAGCAGTCGAGGTGGAAGATACCTCATTGGCGCCACAAGCTTGGTGACTCTCCACCACTACCCCCCACTATGTCATCTACACAGCCCATAATTACCACACCAGCGGTAGATTACTTCGCCCAAGTCTATACCGAGAAGCACGTTACCCATCAAACTGACAATCCCGAGATCGCAGCAGAAGAACATAGCGATGCTGGTCCCGAAATCGAAGATGACCCAAGGCTACGGAAGATGCTAGGAAACATCGTGACTCCGTCTAGCGACGACGAATCCAGTGACAGTGATATGGAACGGACCAAGAAGAGAAAGGGCATCAAAGAATCAGATACTACAGCTTTTGAGGTTGCAGAACGGTTTCGAGACAAGACGGGAGATGGGTGGGAGCACACAAGAGTCAAAGTGCTTTGGTGATGCCACAGACGAACACATGGTATGCGCGTAGGTAGCTTGTCCAGACATTCGGCCCTTCCGGGTCTACCTAGGAGGCTTTGCTTCAGCGGCAGCTCTATACATCCTGTAGATATAAGTCGACCTCATGCCCAGAACAGGATTGTCAAAGTCGTTCTCCCTCTTCTCATGTAGCTTGAAGCCAACCTTTGTCAAGACATTCTGACTAGCTGCCAGCTCGGTATCTGTATGTGCCTCCGCGAAGTCGTACCTCGGTGCCAGCCTGTTCCTGTTGTTCCTCCCATCTCCCTCTACCCGTCCGTTGTTTGCCTTGCCATTGTATGTGCCTAGTCCGTAGTCTTCCGACACATAGTCCGCGATATCACGGCCCGAGTAATGCTCGAAGAACAAGGGCATGAACGCTTCCAACGCTTCGGTAGCGTACCCTCGTCCCCAGTATTCGGCGTTGAACATGTAGCCAATCTCTGGGGCGCGGACTGCTCCTATCAAGCCGATGACGTGCGGGCCTTCGTGTGGCGCTAGGAGGACGATTGCAAAGTTCCAGTTGCATTCAACCTGGTGACACTGTAGACGGTTAGCATACGTCCGGATGCATTATGTAGGGTAGTAGGCTTACACCTTGAATCCATGCTTTCGTGCCTTCGAGGTCATCTGAAGGTAGAAGAGACGTATGTTTCATCACTTCCGGATGCTTCCGCATCAACAACACGTCCTCTGCATCTTCGAGGCGCAACGGGCGCAGCAGCAGGCGTTCGGTCCTCGCGAATATCTGCGGATCAACCACCACCATCGTCGCGAGCGTGCGGAACGAGAAAGTAATATCGAGCCATTGCCGGCTGTACTGTGCGCTGATTAAGACTCACATTGTGTCGTGTGTCATGTCATCAAGCTGTCGCTGTCGCTGTGGCCTGCGCTTGTGCCTTGCAGCACGCGTCAAGAGCTATTCCCTTTACAGACATGTAACGCCCATCTCCAAAACTCCAGCTGTTCAAACACACCGCATACAACCACACAACCAATCAAGATGGCGTCCTGAAGAGCGCTTTACATCATTTCCAAAGCTTCTTCGTCGTTTCCGGTCAGATCCAGCCTTTACCATGTCGAATTCAATACTTTCCGCTTCCGCGAAGGGAGCCACCTTTCTCATCCTCCTGCAGGTGGCTTCTCGCGCGCTGACGTTTGCTGTCAATCAGGTTCTGTTGAGGTTCCTATCACCAGAGCTATTGGGCGTGTCGGCGCAGCTGGAGCTGTTTTCCATCTCTGTGTTGTATTTTGCCCGCGAGAGTCTGCGCGTGGCGCTGCAGCGTCAGGCTCATGGGACGCAGGCTGTCGTCAACCTTTCGTATCTCGCTGTCTTTTTCGGCACGCCTCTGGCGTATCTTCTCGCGCTACTATGGATGCGTTCCGATACGCCAAACGTTCCGTACTTCATGGAGGCCCTGGTTGTGTATTGCCTGGCTACTTTCTTGGAACTGCTGAGCGAGCCGGCGTTTTCTGCTGTGCAGCAGAAGCTACTTTACAAGGTTCGAGCGTCGGCTGAGAGTTCAGCTACTTTGCTGCGCTGCGTTGGTACATGTGGCTCAGCTATCTTGGCTAGTCGAGCTGGCTTGGACATTGGGGTCTTGCCATTCGCTATCGGGCAGCTGGCGTATGCATTGGCTTTGCTTGTTGTGTATTCGTACAAAACGTGGCCTGTTGCAAAGACTGATGGCTTCTCGCTGTTCCCGGAAAGAGTACCATCCACTCAGGAAAACCCGACATTGATGAATTACTTCTCAGCTCCTCTGCTGCGACTGACTGCATCTCTTAGTCTGCAGTCAGCGCTGAAGTATGTTCTCACCCAGGGAGACTCTCTTCTCATTACAACGCTGGCATCTCTCGCAGATCAAGGCGCCTATGCGCTCGCTTCAAACTATGGAGGCCTCATTGCACGCATGCTTTTCCAACCCATTGAAGAAAGTAGTCGCAACATGTTCGCCAAACTATGCGCAAACGTAGAGACGTCAGCAACGGAGAAGAAGGATCTAAAGAAGTCGGACGAACAAAAGCAAAACCTTGCTCAAGCTTCTAGGGTATTGAGTACCATACTTCGACTCTATGGAATTATCTCCTTGTTCGCGGTTACACTAGGACCTGTACTAGCTCCAGTGCTTCTCTCCATCGTCGCTGGGAAAAAGTGGTCTGCAACCTCTGCTTCGCAGGTACTCTCCACGTATTGCTACTACATACCCTTTCTCGCTATCAACGGAGTCACGGAGGCTTTTGTAGCCGCAGTGGCAACCAACAAAGAGCTATACGCACAGTCCATTTCTATGGGCATCTTCTTTGCGCTCTTCGCGGGTAGTGCTTGGTTCTTCATCGGGCAGCTCGAGATGGGAGGCAATGGCGTGGTTCTTGCAAACACGGTCAACATGGGCTTGCGCATCGTCTGGAATACCTGGTTTATTGGCAGGTTCTTCGCGAGGAACGGCTCCGAGTTCAATGTACTCGAGACGTTGCCCTCACTTACTGCCGTGGCGCCCGCGGCTGTTATACCTACCCTGATGCGAATGAAGCCTGCAATCAGCTTTCTCGGACGGCTTGGAGTGCTTGGAGAGCTGATCAGTATGGGTGCAGTGGGTGGTGTCTACGTCTTGCACGTTCTTTTCTTCGAACGGCAGTTTCTCGTCGACTGCTATCGCATGCTCCGGCCGTCGCGGTCTGCTCAGCCACCCACGAAGTCGACTTGATCGAAGACTGGATGCGGAAGAGTTGGCCATACAAAGCATGATTCGCTTCCGACTTTGGAGATGCCGATTGCCGTCTTTCAGCCCTCACAGCGCCCTTTGATATCTCTCGCGCCCTTCTGCAGTGCGCAACAGGCAGTCAATTCTATCTCTTCCATGATATATCTGGGTTCCCATTACTGTTTAGTCGGCTGAGTCTATGGCTGACCAGATTGTTGTTGATTCTGGCTCGACATCATTTGACTTTTCCTTCCCAGAATTGACGGAATGTAACGAACAGCAAAGGCGATACCTTCGACCACACTGCTCGGCGCTTAAGTGACAAGACCGATACCGCAACCTGGATCTCCACAGCGCCTTCTACCGTCGTCGCGGCCGCGGTCATCGAACGTTCCTGCCAAAGTCTCTGTCCTACGTACCCCTCGCATGATTGGTCGCGATTGCTAGCGCCATATTCTTCCTCCATGCAGGTAGTGGGGACCCCCGCAACGTCATCGCGAACACAGAAAGTCAGCCCAGAAAATACTTCACATCACAAGACACTGCTGTAACAACCTCTCAAGTAATCTGGGGGTAATAGAAACTACCTTCAGAAAGCTGGGGGTAATCAATATCACTCTTGCATAAGGCGGGACACAACAGCGCCGCTAAGGAGTTTCCTGGGGGTAAGAGAAACTAAGTCTCGAACTGGAACCGCGTTAATCACGCCATCAAAATTCTACGGTTCGCACCGTTTCTTCCGCTTACCTCTTGGCTGACATCTGGGGCACCAATCGCAAATCCGGGGAACCTGCACTACCAAAATGGTCACGACAGACGAGTCAAGACACCTCCATGGGTTGGTTGACATGGGGAGCAACGGGATCCGCTTTTCGATCACCGACCTGGCGCCCGCGACGAGTAGGCTGTTGCCGACTGTGTACCTGGATCGGGCAGCAATTTCGCTCTACGATGCGCAGTACGAAAATGGCCAGGTGGTGCCGATACCAGAGCCGACTATCAAACAAGTGGTCAAGTCACTATTGCGCTTCAAGAATACATGTGAAGATTTTGGAGTACCCGAGAAGCAGATTCAGATTGTAGCTACTGAAGCTACTCGGAAAGCCAGCAACTCTGGAGACTTCCAAAGCAAGATCAAGGATGCTACTGGCTGGGCTGTACAACTCTTGTCGAAGGAGATGGAAGGCCGGATTGGAGCTTTCGGTGTAGCGAGCTCCTATCATAACCCGATTGGACTCATGATGGACCTTGGTGGAGGCTCTACACAGATTAATTGGATGATCCCGTCACAGCGCGGCCAAATTGACACATGCGAGAAAGGAAGTGCAAGCCTACCATACGGCGCGGCTGCCCTCGCGAAGAGGCTCGAAGAAGCAGGCTCTCCTGATAGCGATGCATTCCGGACGTTCGAAAGCCAAGTCATTGCGGACCTTAAAGCTGCGGTACAATACATAGAGGTACCACAGCAGTTGCTGGACCGCTCACAGTTACCCGAAGGTCTCTCGCTTTACCTGTCTGGAGGCGGCTTCCGAGGCTGGGGTTTTGTACTCATGTCGGAGCATGCGATTCAGCCATATCCCATACCCATCATCAATGGATTCCGGACGACCAAGGACGCGTTTCACGACACTCAGGCTGTACAAGCGGCGGTGCAAAGAGAGGATACACCCGACATCTTTCGAGTCTCGGCCCGCAGAGCAAGTCAGGTTCCAGCAGTTGCTTTCCTGGTGAACTGCTTGTCCAAAGCACTGCCGAGCATCAAAGATGTGTATTTCTGCCAAGGCGGTGTGAGGGAAGGCATGTACTTCTCAGAGATGTGGCTCACGCCCAGTCCGTTGTTCGAAACTACGATGAGATACGCTAAGCCATCGAGCGGGGAGTTTACTGCGATATTGCAGGAAGTCAGTACCCCTCCGCCAACAGCGTCTCGTCAAGAACTGTTCAACTACGAGATGCAGAGAGCTTTTGGGCGTGCTATGTTTGCACACATGGGGCAAGTCAAGGACCTCCAAGCTGGAGCTGCGCTCCGAAGTACAACGACCGGTTTGTTCTCTTCTGCACATGGTTTGACACACGAAGACCGCGCGATACTTGCCATCTTCCTTTGCGAGCGCTACGGTGGCTACAGTTCTATCAGTCCAACAGAGCAGGACTTCTACCGCCGAATGCTGCAGCTCGTGCCAGAAGACTTGCGATGGTGGTGTATGTTGCTTGGCCGCGTTGCTGCAGTTCTGGCCAGCGTTTATCCTGCGGGTCTGATACGAGAGAAGAGGGTGAAGATTACTTCCCAGTGGACAATGACGAAGAAAGAAAACGAGAAATTGTGTATCGATTTCAAGTTTACCAAGGAGCCGGACGAACTCGATGAAGGGCTTCATGCAGCGCTCAAAAAGGTGGAAAAGGCAGGGAAGAAGAAGAACTGGATAGGAGGACACGGCTACAAAGTGCTTCTGACGATCAACGGCAAGGAGTTTGGTGAGGATAACTGAGAATACCCAATGTTCTGAACCCTATTATGTGATTAGATAGTCTAGATGCCAGCTCGCACGAAAATAGCACTGTGGCGAGGATCGTGAAATCCAGACTTTGTAATCGCCATGGCACTGCAGCTGACACGAAGCATCGTGACATGGAGAGCGGTGTATTACGACGGCTTCACTGGTCGTGCAATGGCCATGGCTCGGAAGCGACGGGCATCGTGACCTGCTGTCCGCGGGCTGGATGACCCTTCGCCTCATGACCGACCACCGGAACTCCTGGAAGACGTGGCCTGTAACGCCCGGACTGGCAGCACGTGCAGCAGACAAGCCAGTCCCAGGAGGCCCCATCAGTCATGGAAACCGTTTGGAGACGGCGCCAAGGATCGTGAGTTCAATTCTGCAGGACGCGTAGGTGGGGATGCGAGGTGAGGAGGCACTAATGCGGCGGCCTTGACGGCGCTCCTCATTGCGCGCGCATATGGTGCAATAGCTCATGCAGTCAAGGCCAGGTTTCGGTCGGCGGATTGAGGAAAACTCTGATGCGGCTTTTTTGCAGGTCATGTTCTTGGAGCACTGCGAGCACC